GACATCTATTAAATCGCATTTTATTCTGACGGAATAAGTTGATTGACTCTTCGCTGTGGATGCTCGTTTTTCTTTTCTCGCCACAATTAAAAATCCTTTTAAACCGTAACTCTTTGCCACACTTATTCACACAACGTTTATTTTGTTGACACATTTGATGACCGAAAACAATTAGAAAACTGAAGGATATGTGTGACGTAAAAGACGGCCGAATTCGATGGAAAATCTCACGTTTTTTGTTTTCGCATTTGGTTTGTTTGCATGGAAACACAAGGGACGACGACGAAAAAAAAATAGTATTTTGTTTGTCAAAACAGATATAATGGTCAACCAAATACAATCAGATCGTTTGATGTTTTGGATCGCGTCCAAGCTAAATGCGGATCAAACCAGGCAAAAATACAAAGTAAATAAGAGACTGTCCACTGACAAATTAATGCTTTCAAGATTCGTTCACGACAAAGCGAACGAGCACTGAAATTAAAACGCCGCTCTCGCCGCTGTCATCATTCACATGGTCATATAAATTTAAATGTTTATAGAGAATGTTGCGGAAATAAGAGATGATTTCTCGTCGTCGACGTCGTCACTATTCACAGCCGCCGCCTCGCAGCATCAACTGATATTGCGATTGGTTTGCATTCACACTTTTCATCATACTTTTTTTTTTATTGCCATCAAATGTCTCTTTCTATAAATCGCCCATATTTCTCAATGATCGAAACACACAAAGATTTGTGATTCAGTAATCAGTGGCACGTGTTAGCAATGTGACAATGTTCTTATGCAAGTGTGAATTGAGATAAAGGAATCAATTTCAATTAAACGATTCATTCTCTGATTTCATCTAATGGAGTTTTTCTTTCACATTGATGGAAATCTGTTGAAGAAAAATGAAGTTAATTAATGAAATATCAACGTCGTTGTTGCTATGTCAACATTTGTTTAATTAATGAATTGGCGCAAAAAAATGTACACCTAAAATAAACTCAATTATAATTGTGTGTGGCATTTGTCAAGCATCTTCGATGTTATATACATGGTTCCGCAGCGACGCTAGGCGCATTGACGCACTGATTCGTTAAACGATGCAAAAATAGTAACAAGAACATGGTTCACTGGCAAACTTAATACAAACTGCGATTAAAATTAAAACGGGAATGGGGAAGAACCGGTGACATACGCGATGTTTAAAAGCAACGAGCACTTTAGTTAGCTGATGTTATAAAGTGTGACAATTTGCATCCTCTTTGCAGTTTACAATGATCTAAATTCCGAAAAAAAAACTTATCAATTCACTGTGGCAAAAGATAAATGAGTGTGGACTATACAAAGTAATGGAGCTCATAAGTTTATTGCCCGTGTCTGTATGGTTTTGAGTCTATTCAAACAGTTTATTTATTCAATCAAATTGATTTCGATTGTTTGCCTCTTTTTTTGCTCACATCGTACTCAACGAAAGCGACCCAATAAAAAAACTGAAGTTTTATCATATCAAACAATCGATCTATTTTTAGCAATCGATCTATTCATCATGATGAGTAAGAGAAGTGTTTTTATGAACAGATCCACGGATGGGCATTCTCCGATAAGCGAGTTCAATTTTAAATTTAACTCAAGGGGAAATAACACTTCAACAGCTGTGTGATTTGAAATACAAGTGATTATCTGTTGGTGCATTTTTAGGTATATATTGATTGTTTATGAACACCAATCATTCAAACGGAATTTACCTATTTATTATTGCAAATAATATGTACAAAATCATTCATGATACAATAAGTGGAGAATTTCACAAGATACAAATGCAATCAATAATGCCCGGCAAAGAATGTTCGTATTGTTTTTATTGTCAACATTTATTATTGTGATTATGCAGTAACCGCAACCTTCAACTTAGAGCACACCCAATTGAATTACGTACGCATGTAATCGAAATGGAAAATATACTTTCATTGCGGCAATAAAAACAGTCAGAAAATATTATATAGCACGTATACACCATCAACAATAAACACAATGAATTTTATGTTATTTTCGTTTCTTTTAAAATTTGGGACGGTTTTTTTCTGACATCGAGGAGAGTATCCGTTTTGGATAATAATGTGTGCAAAGAAGATTTATTTATTTGATATTATACAGACTGCTATAATTTATTTAAAATTCACGCATCTTATGAAATTCGATTTGGTTTTTAATTTCAAAGCTGTTTATTTTGCATTGCGTTTCATTTTACCGCTATAGAAATGTTTGTATATACCAAATAGCCTTTTGCTGATATGAATCTCTTTAAATTTTCGGCTAATTTATGATAAACCACGAAACACGTTATTTGATGTCAACGTTGTTCAAACAAATTCGATAAAAGTTCATCGACGTTCCAAATTTCAATATGTCTTTGGCATGAATCGTGCAGAAAAATAAAAAAAATGACCGCCAAACATAGACTTGGACAAGAAAAATGGTGAGCAACCGGCACGCGTCGGTATTACGAGTACTTACATTCTTCTAATGCCGTAGACAGCAGTTTTCCATTTTAGAAATTGCACTCTGGCTTCAGTACATTGACCAATGACCAAATTTCGCATTTATTCTCAATAATTCATTCAACTGCCATTGTCGGGCATGCAAATGAATGAATAATTAATAGTACATTCCACGATTAAATTGGCTTTTGATTTGTCTTTCAAAGCTAGTCCAAGCATAAAAAAAACCTATAAAATATAAATCAGTTTGGTCAAAAGTGCAACGTATGCAAATTGGATTGTCTGAAATATGAACATTTCTCACGATATTCATGGCGAATTTCACCAAACTCACTTCGATGGTTTATCGTTTTGCAGTTCAAATGTACACTGAATAAACGATGAACGAGGATATAACTTTCTACAATTATTCATTCATCACTTTTGCAATCATCAGTAGCGATTTTTCGTTTTATGCATTACATTTTGGTTCAAATCAAATAGCATATGAACAACACAAAAAAAAATTCAGATAAAACCACAACAGCAATTCAAAATGCAAAAGACGTACCCGTTTTCTTTCGAAAATCTTCCGTTTATGTAAGTTTATAACCGAAATTATTAAATAAACAATGTCAGCAATTGTGTGCATTACGCGCTGATTCAAACTATCATTTGTGGCATTCGATAACATTAGAATGAATGGATTTTGAAATGAAGAGGCAGTCGCCGCTGCATTTTCGATGTTGACACAAATTCCGTCAATTAAAATACAAAATGAGTGTTTTGTGCGAATATGGTGATCGAATAAATTGCGGTTGCGACTATAATAAACCGATTGCAAGTATAATCATTCAAATTAATAAAATAAATCAGACGCACCGTTGAAACCGTTCAATTATCGCAATGACGAATCATGGTTGTTCTCTTCTTTTGAATTCTGTGTCAAGTTTTCAGTAGTAATAATAATCAACAATTCATTTGATTTTCTCGTTAATTCGCTACTGTTGATGAATTAGCTGTTAAAACTACTAGAAAATAACAAAAACAAACAAATAAATGTGCACACGCCGAACATAGTTGGCACGCCATAACATTTTGTGTACTGAAAACAAAGGTAGCAAAAATCAAACAATGCAAGAGCGCACACGATCGAAACGAATATAGCGCTCATAATTAACGGACAACAACAAAAGCATTCAACTTCGAAAACTTTAAATAGAGTTGTACGAAATGGAATAACCTTGGCCCAGTTTTCACTTTTCTCTCTCTTCTTCTCTCGGGTGATTATGGTTCAATTCAAACATTTATTCACACGTATCTTCGTTGATTTTAATTACCGCAGAGATTTCCTTCTGGTTCTTCTTTTCCGCTTTAATGAAAATGCTACTGTTCATTTGATCTGACGTAAATAAGTACAGATATGTCGAGTTTCTACAGACAGTTATTGTTCGTCAGCTGCAATTCAAGCAATCAAACTACAATTATTCAAATGATAGACAAGATTCCATTTAACAGTGAAACAAAACACATTCGAATGAAGCACATGTAAATAAAAAAAGAGTATTATTTTCTTGTCTAAAACGATAAACCAAATGCTAGAGCAAGAGGTTTTGCTGCTCATATAATATATTTAATGAAAACGACCTTGATGCTTGTGTAAAAAGCTAAATATTTCTTCAAAACTCATATATTCGCACCAAAAAATGTGCATAATTTATGGTTTTCTTGTAGGCGACTCTCATTCCAAATTGTACAAAGCCGATTCAAAAGTCAATGCAAACGGGTGATGATTTTTATGTGGCGCCAAGCAAAAACCATTTCGGCTATGGCCAAGATGTGCTGTAACCAAAAAAAATGAAATACCAAAAGAGAAACCAAATCAATTGCATCCATTTGAACATTATAATACTATGCGAGTTCTATTCGTCGAATAGTAGGTTTTTCCTGTTTAGTTTGCCTTTGTAAATTGGCATAGCCGTGTATTGGCAATGAACATTTTTATTGTTATAAATATCTATTGGCTTGCAAGTGCGATGAGACCCAGCAAAAAAAAAAATGCACATCTTTAGAATTGCAATTGTAAAAAGAATTTGCGATTGTGCCAAGAACATTAAAAATGCAATAAATACTATATCATTATTAGCACATTATAATGTGCCATTAAAATTGTATATATGTTTTCAATGAATCGATTTGTATAAGGATCGCTGTTTAGTTAGTTCATTTTGCTCATTTTCTCTTTGAGCACAAAAACAATTAATGTCACACACACACGACAAAATGCTTAAATATGCATGGAATGCTAATTCTTAAACGAATTCTCTAGAAAATAAAACAACCAGATGAATTCAAGTAAAATCATTAATATTTTGTGGTTCAAAAGAATCTATTTACTTTTGTGGTTCAATTCAATCTCGTATACATTTTCTTCTGTTATATTTATTATTATGAGCTAAAGTATGTTATTTATTAAAAAGAAATGATCTCATTATCTAATTGCTTTTTCTATTTTTTTTTTCGTCATAATTACAGAGATATTTGCATGGAAGAACGCCGGAAGATGTGAAGCTATTGGTCTCGGCAAAAACAACAGGTGCGACACCTTTGGTAATTGCAGCTCGAAATGGCCACTATGATATCGTACACTATTTACTAACACACACAAATGCCGATGTTGAAGAAACCGGTTCGGTGATGTTCGATGGCGAAACAATTGAAGGTACGAGTGTTATTAATTCTCGCTAATTTTTCTCATATTTTGCAACTAACGTCAAATATATCTGTCTGTTCAATTTTATTTATAGGAGCTCCACCACTGTGGTGTGCAGCCGCTGCAGGATATTTAAAAATAGTAAAATTATTGGTGAACAAAGGTGCCAGAGTCAACAGTACAACACGTACAAATTCAACGCCGTTACGTGCAGCCTGTTTCGATGGACACTATGACATTGTCAAATACTTAGTAAAAAACAAAGCCGATATTGAAGTAGCCAATCGACATGGTCACACCTGTAAGTTGAACTCAACAGTTTATAAATTCACATTTTAAAATGATGCTAATTTTCATATTAAATTTTAGGCCTGATGATTGCTTGCTATAAGGGACACTATCGCATTGCCGAATATTTACTCAAGCTAAATGCAGATGTGAATCGACGTAGTGTTAAAGGGAATACAGCCTTGCATGATTGTGCCGAATCCGGTTCATTGGATATTCTTCGTCTCTTGTTGGCAAAAGGTGCTGCAATGGATGTTGATCACTATGGCATGACCCCGTTGTTAGCAGCCTCAGTAACCGGCCATCTTCCAATTGTGGAGCATTTAATTAGCTTAGATTTTGTGTCGCGCGAAGACCGTATTGCTGCATTGGAATTGATTGGAGCGACATTTGTAGACAAAAAACGTGATATGGTTTCAGCATTGGCAATGTGGAGACGCGCCATGGAAGAACGTTATATGCAAGAACCATATTTACCAAAGCCCATTTCAAGAATTCAAGTGCCAGCATATGACAATGCCGTTGAAGTGACCGACATAGATGCGCTGGACGAATTGGTTATGGATCCGGACGCAATGCGAATGCAGGCACTTTTAGTTCGTGAACGAATTTTGGGACCCGCACATCCAGACACAAGCTATTACATTCGTTATCGAGGCGCTATTTACGCTGATACTGGACGATTTGATCGTTGTATTGAACTATGGACATACGCATTGACAATGCAACAGCAAGTGCTCGAATCGCTTAATCCAATGACACAATCATCTCTTCTCAGTTTCGCGGAACTCTTCAGCTTTATGTTGGGTAAGTAATATACATTCATCGTTCAATCGAACTTGAAAATAATTGGGTTTTTTTTTTGTATGTAGGCGAAGCTGGGCGACCTGTCACACGTGGACGTGTGGTACCACCGATAGAGGCCTGTGACATGCTTACTGTATTTGATAAGGCAATTAAAGAAGTCGAACTAGGTCAAAGAATGCTCAACAAAATTCCAGAAGCACAACAAGACCCACTAGCTATATGCAGAGCATTGGTGAGCGCATTGCATTTGGCTTGTTTGCTTGCACGACTTTTAGACGATGAAGACTGTGAACCTGTGATCAAGAAACAAGTATTAAAAGCGCTCCATGATTTAGTTAGTTTGAAAGTAAGTGTCAACTCATTTCAGTGGAAATCGTATTTGAGTTATTAAATTTTGATCCTTTTCCTCGACAGATTGTGATCAGATCAGGACGTACTGCATTACACTTAGCATGTTATCGAGAGGCAGCTTTAGTTGGCCGTTATCCAGCCTGTCAATTCCCATCACCACAATTAGTTAAGGCCTTGTTAGCAGTTGGTGCTGATCCAAATGTTAAAGATGAAGCAGGAGTAAGTGGACATTATTAGCATTACTATTGGCATGAACTGATTTTTTTTATAATAATATCGATTTTTATTACAGAATACAGCTTTACATCTTGCTGCATTGGCCCGGCCTTGCCCACCCACCCTCGTACAGACATTAGTCGAACACGGAGCGCATTTAGATACTCGAAATCATGACGGTGATACCTTTGAAACGTTATTACATGATCAGAAATTGCACGAGCTCGTGAATCCAGTCAAATATACCCGCTTAACATGTTTAGCTGCCCGCACAATTCAAAAATATGGCATCCAATACAAAGATGAAGTTCCACGAAGTTTGCACGAATTTATCGACTCACATTAAAAATTAATTTTAAGTTAAATTGTAATCAAAGAAACATTTATTCATCCAAACGAACCTCAAAAAGAAGAGAAAAAAATACATTAAACATGTAATATCATATTTAAACTACATAAATTACACATGTTTTGTTATAATTTATTCATCCGTAACCATATGCAAGGTTTCTCTTTTATTGTACAATGTGCACAGGAACTGCTTACATACACACATATATTTTAACATCATCATCTACGTGCGGATGCGGATAGCGTGTATAGCTGATCCATTTATTCATAGAAATATGCATACTAACCAGATGCAATTATAATAGGAATTTCCCAATTTCTTTAATTTTGTTTTAAAAAGAAAATGATTTGGGAACATTCATCGCTTCTGTTTTGTTTTTGCATTTTCACACAATGACTGTCACTGTATTTGGTTTTCGTCGCAAATGTAAAATGTGTGTACGAAAACAATGTTGTAAAAATGAGTAAAATGTGAAGAAAATTGTGAAGCTATATGTAAAAGACCATAGCTCAAAATGTCGGCGATCCGAATGACCAGCCGAATTTGTTTTTGGTGCAAACAGCAAATGAATCTAACTCGCCCAGAAAATGCATTGTGACAATAGTCAATATTTTCTGAATTTTCTATTTCATCATTAGGTTTTCTTTTTTATATAAAATGAACTTCATTTTTAGCTAAACTTCAAACTACCACTTAAGCATCATTACTCGATAATAGTAAAAACAATGAATTGAATTTTGTGAGACACAAAGTTTTCAAATAATTTTTTGAAATGTTTCTTGGAATAATATAAGAAATAGTCGATGTGATTTGATAAGGTGTGTACCTCGTCACAAATGTGTTGTGCCGTACAATTGAATCGTTGATCTATTCAATTTGGCATAGTAATTCTTCAATTCTTGTGAATAAGAAAAAGAGAAATTTTCAATTGTAAACACTGGATTTGAGAATAATTTTTTTTAAAACAATGATTGTAACCAGAAATGATTAAAAAATACATATTTAAATAATTAAAAACACCGTTTTTTATTTGACTTTTTGTTGTTTGTTTATTTATTTGTATTTTGTTGAAATTGTGAGTGCTATAGCATCATTATTCATGTTAAAATATTTTCAATTGAATAATATGGTATTGTACAATCTATTGAAAAAAAAAATCGTTTAAAATGTTTCATTTCTATCGTCTCTAGCCCAACACAGTAGCTAGAGTACAATTGTGAATATTCCGTATAAATTAATTGAATGCGTTTGAATGTGTGTACTATATCATCTGCGCTAATTTCATTGGATTCTACAATTGGCTATTACTATTCGCAACCAAAAAAAAAGAACAATAAAATGTTCAATGACCGGAATATTTGTCGATACATTTGTTGTTGTCACATATAGTAGAATTTGATGGAAGTTGGAAGAGGGATAATACAATAAATGTTAAATCTTAACATAGAACTTGTCAAATAGTAAAAATCAAAATGGAGTAGAATTGTATGCGGAAATTAGTAAAAAAATAAACAATATACTGCAGAGAGGGCATGTGGGGTATTATGAAACGACTTATTTTGCTAGCTCTAAAACTACAAAATTGTAAAATACATAAGTGGAACTTAAACAATGCCATAAATGCATGAAAGCAAATTACCAACGCTGATTTCTCAACTATTGATTTCTTTGAATTAATTTGCCAAACAAAAACTCGACCTTATTCTTCCTATCTTCACATAATTGTGTATTCGCTGCTGATTAGCCCCTCCAATCATGCACTCCTAGCAATTTGATCTCAAACATTTACGTCAAAAGAAAAGAAATGTTTTTTGTTTTACTTAAAAAACGCTCTAAAATTTTACATTATTCTAAACAGTTTTGAATCTACCAAAGATGAGATGCAAAATATGAGTATTTTATTACAGTTAAAAGAATGAAACTTCAACTTTGCGACCATCAAAACGTGATCCGTCTTTGAGTTCTGTAAAGAAAATTGAAAGAATGATACAATTAATGTCGGTGCTATAAAATGTGCTTCAGATGAAACTTACTTATAGCCAACTCGGCGTCACGTTCCTTTGAAAATCGAACCACACCACAGTCTTGTCCGCGAATCTCGGCAAACTTCACTTCGCCACATGATCGGAATTCATCGCGCAATGTTTGCCACGTGCAATTTGGTGGGAGCTATAAAAATAAACAAGAAAACACAATTCAGTTTCAATAGGTTTGGCGTTTCGAACTAACCGTTTGAAATGGTGTTTATATTAGAGAATTGTACTTACATTTCGGATTAAAATTGTGTCGGAGATGTTTTGTGATCGAACATTACCGCCGACATTTGAATTGTTTGAGCCGGCCCCATTGCCCAGGGAAGCGCCAAAATTTTGTGATGGTAAACGTCCAAAGTCGTCCGATTGTGAATTATAATTGCGAACCGAACCAGCAATATCGAAATCACGTTGATTCGATACAAATCCACTGTTTGCATTTGAATTAAGACCAAGATTTGATGACAATGTATTGAATGTATTGCTGCTGTATGGATTTGAAAGTGTATTTTCTAGGCGATTTGATTGATTGAGGCCACTGCCCATGCCGCCAAGACCTGAAAAATTTCCACTACCACCGCCAACGTTCAATGCTGAATTACCCGATGATGAGCCGGCGCCAACGATTTTATTGATATCAAGTGCTGAATTGTTCGCCGTATCATTTGAATTTGTTGCAAGTGAACCAAGACCCAATGTCGACAATATAGGATTGAGATTATTCAAATTGCCAACAACATTGTTCAATGCGGCCAAATTATTCATTGAATTTTGTTGTTGATTCAAAACATTTGCGGCAGATGAAAATGATGATGGTGGTGGTGCAACTGGAACGGGTGCATTTGAATTATTTGAACTGACGCCAAGATTATTTTGATTCTGAAGACTTGGCAAATTTAATGCAACATTTCTCAACGGTTCACCATTTGGACCCAAACCCATACCTAACGAGGAGAAGAAGGAGAAGAAGAAAGAGAACGCGCATCGAACGCAAAACAATCAAACATGCGATTAACCTTTTTGTAGAATTAAGAACATCAATGCTAAACTATTCAATGTACGTAAAATGTATGTGTTTTTGTGTGATTTTTTTTTGTTTAAAATTTTGTTGTTGTTGTTGTTGTTGGTTTGGTTTTCGATTGTGAATAAAATCAATTAAAAGAGATAAAGAGGGGATTTGGAAATGAACAGATATCGACATACCAATGCCACCTAAACCATCAGGCAATTTTTCTTTGGTAATTTTATCCATGCGAACAGTCATGCGACGATCGAAGAGAAGCTGATGGTCAAGCATTGAAATTGCTTGAACCGCTTCAACCGGATGTTGATATTCAACGACAGCAAAACCTCTACTGTTACCATCTTTATCAACCGACAATTCGACATCCATTACTTGGCCAGCTAATTTAAAGACCTGTTTCAATTTCTTTGCATCAACCTTGTAGTCCAACTGAAATGAAAAGAAAGAAATCGCGTTGCAGCCATAATCAGCCATAATCAGTTTGACGATAGACCCAATTTAACAGTACCAAAATGTAAAATTCATTATTTATCAATGTGAAATATATTGTGAGAACGTCGACAACTTCAGGCAAAAGTAACGAACTTTGAACGAAAACAAAATTTATGCAAAAATAACTATGTCAACAACTCTATGAATTAGTCTAATTTGGAAAAGTACGTTGTTTAGGGAATAGTGTGTATAACATCTAAAACACCAGTTCGTACATAATTGTGGAAAAGCAGAAGTGTAGTATGGAACCATATGGAACATATAGATATATACATCGAAATGTTATAGAAAAGTATACAATATAAAAAAAAGTCATTTGAGAAAAAAATAAGACTAAAATCGAGTGAATGAAAAATCGATGACATTGAGCACGAAATGTTCAGAATTCAATGTTAAATTTCAAACGAAATCAACAGTTTGCTGAATGTCGACAGTCTCAACAGGAACAAGAAAAATACAAAAAGACAGTTTAAAAAGTAGTGTGTGCAAACGCAAAAAGCATCAAGACACCGATATACTCAAACAGGCTACTACAAAATGGAATAGGAGCAAAGCAGCTAAAATCGCTGATCAAATCATACTCACATTGGCAACAAAGACTTTCGTATGCAAAGGGCCGATTATGTTCAAACTAGCTAAGAACGATGGACTCAATCCGTATGTGTTGTAATCTTGCTGCTGATCAAAATTATTATAGCTACCCGATCCGCTGTTACCCTTACCACCATGACTGCTATTGCTGTGCGACCTAAAACATTAAACGTGTTAAAAATGCCGAATTGTGTCAAAAGCGTCAAAAGGATTTTGCATATTATTTATTTGTGTAGTGAATGAGAATTAAAAAAAAAAGCACAAATGGACGTACACACACAGCCGCGCGCACGCGACAGACATTGAAAATGTCATTAATAAAGAATATTTCAAATTGATTAAGCCCCAATAGCAGCATTTCATATGGCAAAGGGAATTATCAATGTTTTATTTTGCGCATGGTATAGAGAGCAAATTGATAAAAGATTAATGAAATAAATGAAAACACTAACAAGTAACGATCGTCGTCACGATCTCTGCCTTGATTTTGATTGCGACGTGGACCTGCACCACCACCACCGCCGCCACCTCGGGATGAATCCATATTTTGGCCACCGCGTGCAATTCGACCATATTTATCACGTTCTTCGCCATGATCTTCTTTGACAACCAATTCACGGCCATTCAAATCATAACGATTCATAACTTCTAATGCTTTACCAACATTGTCCGGATCTTTGAATTCAACAATTCCAACACCGCGCGCTTTGCCGTTCTCATCGGTAAACATTTCCACATATTCAACGTTACCAACCATTCTACGGAAGAGATCTTTCAAATCTTGCCATCGATATTCGTATGGAATATTTGAAACGTAGACACGTTTTCCATTGCCACCCATTTTATCGCGACTTCTGTCACGGGATTCACTGTCTTTGTTATCGGAAAATCGTGTACCACGTTCCCCTCGTCGGCCACGATCTCGTTGCTTTTCTACATCACCCATCGCTGTATTAACGCCGTTCGGACTTTCCATAACAGTTGAACGCACTGATATTTTATCACGACCAAAAAAAAAAACAAAATTCGTATGCAAATGAATGTTCAAAATTTCAATCCACTGTTGAATCAATACAAAATGTCAACGTTGAACAAGTATTATTCCCAATATTTTGGTGCCCACGCTGAATTTAATTTGCAAATTTTGCATATAAAGCAATAGACAAAAGAAAAATGGCGGCCTGTTGACGAATGAAAAAAAAATGCTTTGATGATTGTGAACGGATGATGATGATGTGTGTACACGAATTTTTAGTTTATCTTAATTTAATTTAGAATTATGTCTATGAAATGGATTGCACTTTTAGCCTGCGAACACTATAATGGAATTCACAACAAAGCAGATAAAATTAAATTTTTGTTATCAATCAGCAATGAATGTGATTTACTCAAAAGAACAACAAACAGAACTGAAGAGACAAATGTATTAGTGCCAACATGAAAATGTCTAATGGCATCGCTCACACTTCAGGGTTGACCATTTTTCAGCAAATTAACATACCGGCAAGATATTAAACAACATTATAATGAATATTTATTCGAAAAAAAAAACATTAGTTTTATATTAAAGTGATGGAAAAATTAACATTCCCTTAAAGGTGTTGACGAAAATCTAAATTACTTTTAAATTCAATCAAATTTTGGAATAAATAGAACCGGCTCTATTTCAGAACATATGTAGATAAAATGTAGTGTTGCCAGACGCGTTCGTGCTGCGTGACTATTGACGTTTATCGCCCTCAAAGCAATGTTTTTTACAAAACGTGACAAACGAAGTATTTTGAAAACAAGAGCTTTGATCCAGAAAAAAGTAAAAATTAGTTTTATGTTATTGAATCATACCTAATATTTTAATCTATTTAAAATCCATTTAATATTTTTAGAAGTGAAGATGTTGCGTGCAATTTTACCAATTGCAAGAAATTCATCATGTTTCTTTGTGCGCACGTATCGAACCAATAATAAGCGACCAAAGGATCAGGCTGGTGTGCGAATACAACGTAAAATATTCAAGAATACTGAGGTAGAAATGGATCCAGAAGTTGACCCAGATCTTACATACGAAGCTGATTTTACTCAACTCAATCGAACGCACAAAGAACATGAAGCGGAAATGGAAGTTCAAAAGGAACAGACCAAATATTACACCATCAAAAGTAAATATTTCAAATCAGAAAAGCAACCGAATTTTTTAACGTGGGCAGAAAAAGAGCAAATACGACAGTTGAATCAAACCGCACCAGAAGAATGGACACCGGAACGACTATCGGAAAGTTTTCCAGCAGTGGAAGATGTTATCATCAAAGTACTGAAAGCGAAATGGAAACCACTCAACTTGAAACGTATTCAAATGCACGACGAAAGCGTTAAACGAAATTGGGAATTATTAAAAACAAATCAAATGAAAGATCTGGATCCGGATATAAAAAATCATTTGAAAAAGTTTAGTAATCGTAATTTTGATAGTATACAGAATGCGCAAACCCAGAAGTATATCGAATTTGAATTTCCAAAGCCAAAAACCACGGAATATTTGCAAATCATTTCAACGTGTCAAAGACGCCAAACAAAGGATGGAAATGATGCTGTTACTGGTGGTGATAAAACAAATCCAAAACTTGAGCAGAATCAAACACATGCAACACGGGATTTGTCATTGGTTTCCAAACCTCAGTTGAAAATACCAAAAAATATACGAAAAGAAGACATGACCTACGATAAGTTGATGGAATCGACTAATGTACATTTAAATAAGCCACAACATGAAGAGCTCGATGAAGACCCATATTTGAGTGTATCTCTACTGAAAGATCCAAATATTGACCCACATAATGATGTACCATCAATAAAGGAGGACCCCAAACATACTTACTCGGATGAGTTTAATCATGAATCAAAGGATGACAACGTTGTCGACTTAACACTAAATGATATGAGCTCAAGCAAAAAAATAGTCAAGTATGAAACGAAAACGAAATCACTCGCAAGTATCGGTAGGGGAATAAAAATTGAACCTTTACAACACACCATTCATATTCCTCAAAATTTGCGGAAACGAGGCTCCATTTACAAACTACACGATTGCTTCTACGATGATCGTGGTGCATTTATGTACAGAGTGCCCGGTTTGAAATAATCGCATTGAACTTACCGTGACATAATATGGATAATATTCAGTTTAAATGTAATTTAGGAATATCGAACTACAAAAAATCTGGAAAATAAAACAACCACCGCAAAAACATTAAATAATTCTTTTCATTTATTTTTTCTCTTTTTCTAACTTTTCTTCTGTTCAATTTAGGATTGGTTGAAATCTTTTTTTTTTTGTTCTCATCTATTTTATGGTTTCTGTTTCCTCTGATGAATCGCTTGTGTTGATAATCATTTCGTGTTCCATAATAATGTGATCATTACCATCATATCCAACCGTGTTAATACGATTATAAGCGTAGTTTTTCTTATCATTACTAATTGTCGTTGTTGTATTCGAATAAAATGATTTGCACGCAATTCGAATAATCAACATAACAATTATGACCGATACAATGTAAGCCATTACCATATAAATGGAAATGTGATCAAAAAATACTTTAAATATTGATTTGTGACTAAAATTGTGCTCCGTATTATTTGAATTGTGATCGTTATCAAAAAGTTTAATGACTTTTGGCCATCCGTTTTCGTTGTGTTCGCTTGCACGATCGCAGTATGTTTCGTTTGGCAGAGCCCCTCGTAAAATTGATTCTGTCGGACATTCGGTACATTCATTATTTAACGGTCCTCGGCATCTAAGACACGTTGCATGACATGCTCCACATTTTTTCTGCGGAATACTTTGTACAATAGCTCGTTTACGTGGCGGTTTTGTTGATGTAGAATTGGTTTTAGGTTTGGTAATCAACGGTGTTTCCGGCAACATATACGTCCGCTCCGGACAGGCTGTATAACAACGGCCTTCATAAATAAATGTTGTCTGCTCACATTCTATGCGAAAAAAAAAAAATAGAAAAAATGTATTTTTTTAAGTTATGACCATGTATGCAAGCAACAAGAAAGGTGAAAAGTCGATTATGGTATAAATATAAATAGAAAAAAACATGAAAATTCAATTAATTTATAATAATTAGTGTGAAAATGATATTCTGCTGGAACAAGCAAATAGTAATTGTTTAAATTAATAGAAACATGAAATCCAAATATGATTATTTGAAATTATTTTCATCCTATTAAAACAGAATCAACTTAAAAATGTACAAATTATTTACAACACTAAAAAAAAACGTTACACTTTTTTTTTCAATAATTTTTCAATTTAAATCACAGTCTGTCCAATTTGATACCAGCCGAATTTAATACAATAAAAGGACTCAATATTTGCCCATACCATTCTCAAAATTGAAAAACAGCAAATACTGATAAATTGAAGGTCGGAAAATTAAACAAACAAAAGGCACATACAAATTTACTATGATTAAAAAAAAAGAGAGATATAAATTGGTTGAAGAAAAAAGCAAAACAGAGGTGAAAAAAAAAGAAACAAACAAATGAATAACAAAAACGAGACTCACCGACATTACATGTTACGCATTGGTTGTGCTATTTTTGATTGATTTATGTATATTCTATGAGCGTGACAGTGTGTATCTGTGGACATCTACTTTGTGTGCGGTATAAATATTCTACTATAAAAGTGTTTCGCAAACACTAGTTATGATGCACAAAAAGATTTATGTATATATAATAAAGCAGATATGTGCCCATTTACCTTTTTATAAAAATTTGTGTTTGTGTTTACTAAAGAGAGTGTGATGATGGTTAAGAAAGACAATTTGTTAGTATGTCGAATGGGAAAATATCAGGAGCAACGAACACAAGTAGATTCAGAAGGAAAGTCGTCTTATTATACATATTGAAATGATATTGTCCGTGCGTTGGCTAATAAGAGTAATGTTGAACAAAAAGTTTGATCAAAATGAAAGAAAAAGTAGACCTAGTTGTAAGTTGTTTTTCTCATACGAATGTATTTGTTTCAAGAGACTATTTTTATATATAAGATTATCATCATTTCCACGTGACATATGTCGTGGTCTTGTTTTTGGATGTGTGTGTGTGTTTGATTTTTTTTAAATTTTTTTTTCCTAATTTATTTAGCACAATTAACATAATGGTATCATTAAGTATTTTGTTTAAATTCTATTATCATATACAGACAGTAATAAATCTGCACACATTTATTCGGTTGGTTGCGCCATGTAAAACTATATATATATAATGTAATTTCAATATCTGTTGTTCTATCAGTATAATTATATGTTTTTATTCCCAGAATTATTGTAATTAACTTAGGTTGCTTTTATCATGTGCACTCTATTCGTCATTTATTCCGAAAAATCAATCCATTCACTGTATGTATTGTTGTTGTTGTTTTTAAATTAAAAATTAATTAAGCATTCTTGTTTAATATACAATTTTACATACAATTTTATTATTGGTTGCTCATAAGAGACAATTTGAAAAAATTTCACCTAATCCTATTTAAATGTTGAATTTTATTTACAACATATGTATTTAGCCTAAAAAATTAGATGCATTATTCAATTGCAATGTGAATTCATGTTCATTTTTGATGACGGCTATTTTCCTGAATTTTATGCAATCGTTTGAATTTTTCCATCACTTCATATGATAGCACAAAATTGGATGATTTATTCGAAACATTGATTTCAATTTAAAAAAAATCTCTTATCTAGCTACATTTTTTTTGTTTAGCTACATTTACGAATTTTAAACAATGTGTAATTTTGTTTGATGTTATTTGTTCTAAATAGAAAGACAGCCGAAAAGTTCTAGACTTTTGCATGCTTTTTTTTTTATTTCCAAGATATCGAATATTTATTTTTCGATTGGTACTTTTGTTCTTAACTACAAACGACGAGATTGAGCCTATTTCCGGTCGGAAAAAATGATTATTTCAGAATCATAACGCATCAAGTGTTATTTCGAGTGATCATTTTGTTGTTAATGAATGAAATTGCGTTTGAGTGGGACTGCTTGTTAACTTTTCGATTGATTTTTATTTTGCATATGTTGAAACAGTGTTTCAGTATATAATATTAGTTGTATCGTTTGCTTCCATTAAATTATTTCACTCAACAAATGGTGAAAAACTATTTCGCAATAAACTTTCTAGCAGAATTAACAGAACAGAAACTCGCATGTAAATATAATTCGGGGTTCTATAAAATACAATCAAATGGAAAAACCAATTCAATTTTCCCTGAATAACTTTAAATGAAAATAAGCGAACGATAGCAAATCAAACAAAAAACCTATATGGATATGTTTTATTATTAATTTGTAGTTGAATATTGCTGAAAATAATTAGTTGCAGAGTTTTAACTTCAATCGAGTAACAATGGAACAAAATAGAGCGTGATATGAGACAATTGCAGTAACACCATTCAATGTTTGTACACATTGCAAAATGAGATAAAACTATTCAGGAAAAGAAAAACAAACGAAGGAAAAATCAAAGAATAATACAATAAACATATCTATATGCCAAAGGGAAAAAACCCTATACTTCATGTGCTGCTATATAATCCATTGAATCGTCCATTCAATATGTGAGTGTCGCTTTAAGTCACACCTTCAGTCCGAGCATGATGATGTACATTATGTTTAAAGTACATTTTCCAACATCATATATTGTACATACATAGTTGTAGCGGTATCAAAAAGGTTTATTGCATGCCATGAAAGCGACCGACCGAGTCCTAATCTAATTCGGTTGTATTTCAATTTAGTTGCTCTGTATATGTGAATTATTCGGAAAACCAAACTCATTTTGACATGCAATTTCGCAAGGAAATCTTCATGAGAGTGCTGAGATTAACACATTTTGTGTTAAAGCTTAGAAAAGAGGAAACTGAATATTTTCATGTCTATTTAATTTCAATGCTTCTTCTTTTGAATCACAACTTATGATTATTTCTTTTTTAACAATGCACATAGTATAAAATTCTGCTGTTGAGTTTTACAACTACAAACAAATTTCTAATGAAATTCCTTCAAAAAACGATAATCAGTTTATCAGCACTTTGCATTGTTTAATAAGTAATGAAATACATCACAAGTAAACGGAGCATTGTTGTACATGGGATTCAACAAAAATGGACAGAGTAATTATACGATGAAAAATTGCATTAAACATTCAAAAGAAGATTACCGTCCAGACTTATAACTTCAAAAGCACACTGAATTGGATCAGACTATTTTTGGAAGTCTACACGCTTTTTTGCTTTTTTCTTCAAACCTTTCACGTTGATATACCGTTATACGTCACAACAAAACACAAAACTCGCAGTTAAACATAGCTCATGCCAATTCGATTAATGGCTAGGAACATTTCTTCTGGATTTCAAAATAAAAAATCCCAAAGTAGAATATTATGAAATGTCTATTTACATATTTGCAAACTATAAACTATAAAACAGAAAAAAAAAATTCAATTAAAAAATGTGTGTAAATTACAACAAGAGCGATGGTTAAAATATTGCAACTGCTTGACTAAAGAGTTATATATGATGAAAGTTAAAATAGCTCAAAAATATAAGTGATAATAACTACACAAATATATTGTAGCAGCTTATCATGTATATAGAGTAGTCCTTCTTCAAAATAGTAGCTGCCAATGTTCAATGTCAATATTATACATTATTTGAAATTCCCGTTCAAAAAAAAATATTGTAGAAACGCACACAAAACAAAAAGAAAATTACTAAACTAAATATACATATATGTTTTCTCTATACATCAGTAATAGTTTGGCTGAACTACGAGCTAATTTCGCGAATCGCGAATCGCGATATCGATTACGTTTTTTTTTTGTTTTTGTTTTTGTTCGTTTGGATCACGTTAAAAATTGGCGCTGATTCTGTATTTTGCAACACTTAAAATTACTAAAAGCTAAATAAAAATGTTTACAATCACTAGCTACCATCAACAAAGATGGTATGATTTTTGTCGATACGTTACAGTCGATAAGTAATTTTGATTATTATTTATTAAGTTGATTTCGTTATTATTGTTTTTATTGTTGTTGTTGTTGTCATTGTTATTGTTATTTATTCGAGACAAATTATTACGATTGATTTTCGAATTAAATTTGGCTAGATTAACTAATGAAACGATAGATTCGATAGACGTCATTTGGTGTAGTAGCGGTAGATAGGTTGATAATAGCAATAATATACAACACAAACCTATGCAATATTTATTCGGTAATGATTTTAGACATGCTGAATCGGTTTGGTCATTTGAAGCGGCCGTTCGTTGCACATCATTATGGCCATTTTCTCCGCCCTAATTTGTTTTTTTTTTTCGAAAAGAAAATTGAATGAAATTTGTCCAGCAATCAAACTGACAAGAAATTATATCGTTGGTGAATTCAAATTACCTGCTGTAAATTTCGCCATTGTCCTGTTTCCGTTTGATCAAAGTCCAAGCTTTGATCAATTTCGCTGAGGAAGTTTGGATCTGGTTGTGGGAAGTCAAAACTTTTTGGATCATTTGGTTGAGCCGGCTCTTCGGTTCCATGCAAGATCAAACCCCATTGAGTGACTTGTGCTAAATTTTGAACAAACAAAAAAGAACCATAGATTTTATTAAACTTTTCAAGTCACTACTACTTTATTCTAACAAAAATATACGCATGCATGCATCCTTCTAAAACATAAGTTAGGTGTTAGTGTTTTTAGACTAAGAAAAAGAATTACAATTCGAAAAAACGAGAACTAAAAATCAAAGGGATAAAACATAAAATCGGCGGTAATATGGGCAATGTAAAATGGTATAATGGTTTGAGAATACGTGTCAGCATGAAAGAAAACGAATAAAAAAAAGCTTAAGCATTTTCTTTTCTCTATCCCCATGTCTTGAGCAATCAGATTTGGCTGGAAATACAAAGCGTTGAAAATGTTAAAATATACTTTATTTGACAGCCATTGTTGCAGAGTAAACGGCATTTGACATTGGATTTAGTTTTTATTCGCCACTCTACATGCATTATATGTATGCATTTATATGTGTGGTGTGGTGAAACTGATCAAAATCACATTTCTTTTTATATATTTTGGCACATATCGCTTTTTTCAACTGATTTACTATATATGCTCGTTCATTTTTCCGCTTAGCTTCACGCTGTGAATGTGTTCGACGCAGCACAAGTTGTTTTATGGTGAGCACATTTTATGTTTATCTTTTTTTTTCTCTCACTCAGCTCCTTGCGTACAATTCATTGAATTAATGCCAGATAATAAAGACGGGACATTTGTTTGAAGTAAAAGAAGATACAACTAGAAAATGGACAAAATTCTATTCGATGTTCAATGTCGCGTCATTTTACGTTTTCTATGGTGTTTTTTTGTGTGTATTTCATCGTTTTCCACAAAGTGAACATGGCTTTGTGTGTTTCGGTCGAACGTAATGAAAAATAAAAATCGTCGAATCGGCACAGTTTCATGTGCCATAAAATGCCAATCGCTATGGCGATTGTATAAAAAGCGTTTTGCTTTGGCCGCTCTTGTTTTCTATGTCATTTGGGGTTGAAAACCGACAATGCCATCGGATACTTAGTGGGAGCCATTTTTCGATTCAGTTCAATTGTTCAATGTGGTATGAATTCATGAACGGCATCGAATATATCAGTGTTCTTGTGTTTTTCTGTATACTTTTTTTTATTCGTAGCGCACAATTACGAACGCAAAAGGAGAAGAAAATAGAAAAGCAATAGCAAAGTTCGACCGAACACAAAATTGCCAGATCGAAATAGATACATACTAGTAGATATAATACACTTCATGCAGAAGAAAATTGTACGTTATGAACATTGAAATGGGCATTACATTTAATTTGACTCCTTTTTTCATGAGCGAGAGGGAGGGTGAGCGCGTGTGTGTATATATACCCTTTATTTTCGATCGGCTTGATTGTTGCCAACACGCAAATTTATGTCCATTTACTTGTCTCATCGGCTTTGAGCACACATTCTTCGTACCATGCTGAAGTGCAGAGGAAACAGAGCTAAGCGCAATTGTATTTACGGAAAAATTCTATTGATTTTGGAACAAGTCCAGTGGTAATAATTAAAAAGCATTGCTATCGGCTGGCATTTATGCTTTTTTTTCGCTCGCGTTGTGCTACGAACGATTTATGCGAAATAAGAATGTAGCATTGCAATTTACAGAACCAAATGTTATGGTGTCCAAATTATCATCAATAATAATACGAAGAACGCCTTTCTTTTTTGCGAAAAGCAACAACAACAACTATGAGATGTAATTATACAAACTGCATTATTTATGTTGAGCCATTTTGAACAATGGCATATATTATTTAAAAAAAACTCATTTCGATTTATATACGAAGGACTATCAGTTTGTACGCGGCTTCCTTTGATGCGAATTTACGAGGGAAAAATAGTCGATTTTAAAATTACTGCCCGCAACAATTGAGAACAAAAGCATATTTTCATGAATATTTTACTCAGATGGCTAATGAGAGTTATGCCAATTTTATTCGAGCGGACCAGTAAAAATTTAGTATTTCAACCAAAAAAAAAAAATTATGTGAAAACTTTATGTCACCATAACACTAATTGATCGTTAATAGGATATACCGTCTGTGCCTGTACTCATGTGCACCAAAATGAGAAGTTATTTGAGAAGAGAAACAAAAAAAAAAACTACAGATTTTAACAAATTATCGTAAAAGTAAGGCAGTTACTATGAAATGTCATGAAATTTTCCACATTCCATAATAAGTGACGATGCAGGAAATTATATGAACCAAATATATAGCTCTTTTTGGCGTGTCGTTGATGCTGTTAAAGTATGTAGAGTAAGAGATCTTTTTTTACTGCTCATCTGTTTCTTGTACATCGAACGTGACCGAAATGATCTACTATGTTCGCAATACTCTCACGTTCTTTATGCTTTTGATTTTAAGTTTCAATTATGGCAGCATTTTCACACCTCCTGCGGACCGAAAACAGATTCTCGTATTATTGAAAAAATGCGCTTACACCTTGCGATTTTTTGATTACCTCAATACAATGTTGCAGTTAATGCTATCCTTTCGGTGTTCTTGAAAATCTCAGAAAATGTGCAATAAATTATAAATACTCCAACACGTTGCATAGTCTATAGAATTTCAGTGGCATTGCGTGGGCCACAAGTGTACGTAAGTTATTGAAGTTATTGTTTAAAAATAGCCATTTCCTCCGACGTTATTGTTCATTTGTATTATCGAACAAAAACTACATTTTGTTCACATTTTCCGAAATTAAAATTTAAACTTTAATGGATTTGGTGATGTTGAAACAAAACGAATTCTTTTGGAAATTAATTTTTAAATAGGACAGTTGTTAAAAATTTAATTCAATTTTTATAGTATTCACCTGGGTAACAAAACTAATTTTCGGCCACACTTATTAATTCATCACATTTTGTATGACGAATGATGAGGAGAAAACATATGTGAGCATTTAGTACGTTACACATCGGTTCGATATAAGAAAAAAAACGCTTGGTTTTGACTGTAAAAAAATGCAATTTAGTATTGTTTCGCACGATTACTGGATTAAATTTACGTGCGAATGTATATATTGCCGTTGCAGCTGCTTTTAAAGTGCATTAGTTTTCCACCAACTTCTGTAAAAGACGGCAAACATGTGTAAATGTATGGCGCTTATTTATCGTTAGCTTTTAGTTTGTTGCAGTTTTTTATAAGAAAAACTCAAACACATCCACCCGTTTTTTTTAACTTTGTAAACTTATTTCCGTTGATTTCTTTCTCCACCTCACTTCTGGATAAATTTAGCGCCTATACGAGCGAGAGGGTGCGTTAGTTTTCGCATTTCGAATTTATCATGTAAAAGCGTAGTTGTTGCATTAAATTAAAAAACTTTCAGATTTATAATGTAAATCATCCCACAGTCTGATCAAAATCAATGTCATTTGCCACATAAAGAGTACATTTACTGGCAGAGGTATAACGTTTGAAATGTAGAAAATAATTATTATGGATGCAATCGAGATGAGAAGATTTTAATCGATTCAACTTATTCAAGAGTAAAGAACAAACTTAAAATAGTTTTTTAATGTAATTAAAACCTTTTGATGTTTGATGGTCACGGCATATTTTGCAATTAACTTTTGAAAAAATTAAACGTATGCACGACGTACAGATAATGAAATTTACGCGTCATTTATCTTGGCGGATTCTGTAGTATTTTAGGAAAAAAAATTGACTCAAAAGAATTGAAGTGCTCATTTTACCGAAAAATGTCGGCTCTTTCATTTTGGAATCTTTTTCGATTTCATGTTCATCGCAACGTTTTTTTAAAACTGTAAATACGTAAAATGTGCATTTGAAAACTGAGACAACTCAATCGGATGAAATTCAATTTAAACAACAATTTTGTATTACGATGTGCTATAATAAAAGCAGTATGCGATAGATAGCACGAAAGGCAAACAGAGAATAAAGTTTTTCTTTTGTTATTCTACCGAAAAAAAAAGAATCACTTCGTATGTGTTCGACAGTTGATTCTATTCTAAGTGAGTATGCAAAGTGAATACTACTTGGAATTGCTTCCGCGTGTGCCATATCCATATTCCTTCCTATAGATTATGCAATTCATAGGATGTTTTCCATCTATTGTATGAAACTAATACAATATTTTGAGAAAAAAATCTCTACTTAAGAAAAACACCATACGAAATGCATTTATTGAAACTGAATAAACAAAATCATACAGAAAAATATGTAATTTTAAATTGGAGTTGATCCAATGCTTATATTTTTGTGTTTGCACAGATTCAATTCAAATAAAGTCGAAATGAAACTGCATGGAAATTGGATACATTTGAGAGATGAAATTTTTTTCTCGAAAAGTGAACAAAAAGATTTCCTAAAAAAAAAAACAGTGAGTTGAACTCGATTCGAAAAGTTTACTTGAATATGCTTTAAATAAACATTGTTATAGGAAATTCAAATTACAAATAATAATATTGACGAAGGTGAGTGCCAGTGAGAAATTTCTTATTTATGATTTGATATCGGATGGAAAATTTTATTCCCAAATAGAACCATTTTTTTAAAATAATGCATGCTGCTCGAGTTTGATCTTCACGTAAAAAACGATAATACACGTCAGCTGTTTAAATATTTCTGGTGCAATTTGTAAAACAGACAATCTTTCATTAAATTCACTGTTAAAATAAAATCATTATATTCCAATTATCGTTAGAGTGAACATGCGAAAAGCATTAAAACGAGAGTTTCTGATTAATACAACATCCATCCAATGATGCAGCTTCTAAATGTTTAATTGCGCACTTTGTATGTGCTTGGGATACATGGGAATTAAACTGTGGATGCATAATGAGATTTGGTAGTCCCAATTTGAAGCTTTCAATTTACATAAATAAACGATTGCATACGTTTATTTAGATTGTTAATGGTCGTAATGTGTGTGTGTGTGTATGCGTGTGTGTTTGTATCTTTGTCTATTTATATGAAATGGAGAAGGGCGGTATGCAAAGGACTAAATGTAATTCAAGTGTATGATAAAATCCGTGTTTTGTAGTCTTGATAAATGAACCGTAATAAACGGTAAACTAATTGCATTTTCGCATTGGTTTTGCGGTTCGCATGTAAATTTACGTTAATTACAAAGTAAATCACTAATTAACAATTATATCTAAAATGCAATGTGGTTGTTATTTCTTGAAGTAGACGCCTGTCAAGAATTATAATGATCGGACAAATGGTCATTTGGAATATTGTAATCATATATGAAGCAAGCTGAACAGACATAAGAATGCATAAAATATCTACGTAAAAACTAAAGTACATAAAATCAAATATGAACTGAGGAGTGAGGAATTGCAACATTGTTCGATTGAACGGATTAAAAATGAATAAAAAACGATAAAAATGGGGTGCACAACACATATGTTTGTTTTAAATTTGACAAGGCTAACCCTTTCCATTGGTTGATGAAATTATGGCTGAGCTTTGTGTCCTTGTTGTTGATGGTTTTTGTGACAATGATAAAATTTCGTGACTTCGACCATTTGATATTTGGGCAAACGTTGACGACGGTGGGGCTTGTTGATTATTTGAAATAAATGTAAAATGATTGTGTTTTGAACCATCACGTGACGGTTTAACGGCCACACTTCCGCCTCCACTCGAGCTGCTTACCGATGACGATGCCTTTGGCAGTCCAACATATGGATGAAATTCGGGATAAAATTCTTGGATTTTTTCGTAGCGTTGAAATAATTTCGGTATGTTTGGATTCGATGTATATTGAAAACTACCTACTAATTCGAAATGAGCATCGAGTGGCGATGCTGTCGTTATTCTAGCAACATTCGATTTGGCGACGGAAGCACTTGTCGTACTCTTTACCGTCGATATCGATTCATTGCCATCGTCGAGTCTTGTACTGATGACGGTTATTATTTCTTTTATTTGCTTGGGTGCTTTGACAGGCGATTTAATATACACCGTTTTCTCGCCGTCTTTATTGTCTACATTATTGTTTGACAACTTTATTGGTCGTATGGTGGTTGTGGCGATGATTTTATTTGTGAACGCGATGCCATTCATTGGTTCGAATTTGTTGCGATTTTTGTTCGATAACGTTGTTAGCGTTGGCCGTGGTGATGTGAGACGTGGCTTCCAGTTTTTTCCATTTTGATTTTTTCCATTTGTTTTGCCATTTTTGCGCCCCGTTGATTGCGATCCATTCGACTGTGATGATTTTTGTTGATGTTGTTGTTGCTGTTGTTGTTTACGATTTCCTTTGCCACCGTTGTTTCCCTTTGTCACATTTGCCGCTTGATTGTTTGTGTTCGGTGTATTGTAAAGTGTATTCAATGGTAATAGAGGAACTGAAACTGGATCGTTTTTATCAATTGGTTGTTTCGATCCATAGAATATCAACGACCATCCTTTCAAAGCGGTGTGACCTATTTCATTTGGACAACGTTAAATGCGCCCCACAGCCAGAACGAACAAGAGATTTTATTGGTTTTTCATGGTTTTTTCGTTTGGTCAATGTGTTGGAAAATCGAAGTGATTAATGCGTTCCATCACCGATTCATCACAAATGAGAGCAATAAAATTGTAACAGACAAATATATTGTAATGAAATGTGAGTTTATAATGCGTTTGTTTGTTTTCTCCAAACATAAATAAATTACATTAACACTTTGGCTACGTGAAATTGATTAGTAATTTGGTTAGTTGACTGTTTTTTTTTTTCAATATCGGTTTGGTGTTTTTAATTCTAATTTGAATACAGGTGGTCAAACATACCCATAAAACGTCCTTCGTTTCGAATTTCGAGCAACCATTGTCCATGCGGTGATTCGCCCCATGTATGCACCGACATAAATGGCCATTGATTAAATCCTGAACGTGAACTATCGTGTGATCTAAACGAGAGAAAATTCAAAACGATTAGTTTATATAAATACAAAGTAGTAAATTCGTAATCAAAGTAAACCCAAATCGGTTTATTGTAAATAACAATGCATGCATGGGTTTATGTGTGTGTGTGTGTGTATATGCAGATTGAATGACAACCGCAATTGAGCCATATGCGAATCACATTGTTGGATTTAATCAACATAATCGAATAGATATTTGAATAATTCATAAATAACCACTTCAATTTCCGACGAGCAAAACATCAGCAAATGAATGCTGATGATGCTATTCATTATAAGTGTCTGCCGTTAATGACCACTACATGCATAAGCACACACACACTCGCACTTACTCAATCCATTTATGTGCGTGAGTGAACGCTTTAGCTCCGCACACAAATTTACTTTTCAGCATGGATCTTTAGAAAGCACTATCCATCTACTTGGGATGACTATGACTAGTGACCATGTTTATGGCTGATTTATTACTCCGAAATCAAAATGCACATAAAAAATGACTGAAGTAATTTTGTGTGCTTTGCAAAATGTATAAACATGTATCATTCGAACCAAGTTTTGATTATTAATTGATGAAAGAATGAGTGATGCTTTCCACTCTATGTCTCAAAAATATTAATATTAATGGAACATTATTCGAAAATGGATTCTTTTTTATATTCGAAAAAAGTTTTTGGTCGGAAATGAAGCACATTCAATAGAAAGACTTTGTTTCGATAAACAGAAATCTGTTGTTATCTTTGGTGAGCACTTAAGGAAATTCAGTTGAAATCACATTCGCCATCCGCTTGATGCCAAACTCTGTCAAAGTGTTGAACAGAATGCAAACATTGTGCAAACGACTGACACCGGAAAGCAATTCATATTTGTTCATTATACATACACATTGGAGCATTGATTTTGTGCGCACAATGTTGAATATGCGACCGAATACAATGGGAAGATTTGCTAAACGCTAAATTAGTGTGCGTATGACGTACGCAATATTTTAAACAAACACACATTGTTTTGTTTGTTTGTTTGTTTGTTTAACGCACAGTTGCCTGAATATGTAAATTGATGTGTGCCAATATTTGATATGAATTTATGATGAAATTGGCCCATCATCCAAACAAAATATGATCAACATCATTACCACCATTGTACAAAGTGATTACATTGTGTTAAGTTAAAACTTTACGACCGAGTTTCATTTTGAATTGTATAAACATCACCTATCAACGGCAGAAGGAAAACATTAGTTGTTAAATGCTTGTCATGTATTGTTTCGTACATGGAAAAACAGTTTCCATATGTTTCAACAAGCAAAATGAACAGCATGATGCATGTCCGCTACAAACAGTTCTTCTTTTCTTTCCTGCTGAAAATGATTTTTTTTTTGGCGAAGAAATATAAATTACCTGGATGTTAACAAGGTTACTTTGGTTCCAGCTGGTGATGTTAAAAAAATCTGAATATCACCTCGTCTTGGTGATGTCAATGAAATTTTGGCTTGAACATGCTCCAAATAATTAACACTTTCACATTGATGTGGTTGCACCTTCAAGCTTATAACCACGTAACTTTTCGGTGAAATTGCTCTGCAAAAAAGTACAAACCGAATAAGAAAAAGAATGAGAGTTATTTCATGTTGATTTTAAATTAAGTACGTTTATATTTGAAATGTGAATGCAAAATGAAAACATACTTATCCAATGACGGTGCATAGATTTCACAGCGCTGTTGCTCAGGAACGGTTTTCCATGTTCGTGCAACTTTAATCATAGCAGCTGCATCCATCAGTCCATAACCAAATGAGTGGCTTACACGACGACCGACTCCATTTTTCGACCACGATGGATCTTGTAAATTGGCTGGTTTTGCTGTCCGTACCACTGCACGATGATAAAAACATAAACAATCGATACCGAACACAAAATGCACAAAAAAAATGCACGATTATCATACCAATATGCTGTAAATCTCGCCAGGTTAAACTCGGATTTGCCTCCAGTACCAATGCGGCAATACCGGCGGCAAGTGGTGCCGATGCTGACGTGCCTGTATGCGACGCTGTACACGAATGATGCAAATCAGTTGTAACCACTTGACGTTCTTCTTTGCTTCCGCTACTGTATGTTGTGGCTAGTGTTGAGCTGCATTTTTCTGAATACCAAGGCACAAGTCCTCGTTCGGTGGCGCTTGAAATTGACAGCGTCCAAATTGAATTTGTATAACCGTCACAGTTGCAATTATCATGATCTTTTCCACCATTGCCAGATGCCCAAATGAAAATACTTCCTTTTCCTTTGCGCCCCTTTGTGACACCCTCGATAAATGCTCGCGTGGCCAATTCGCCCGGACCATCTACTGTCTTGCCATCATCTGTTTTTTTTTTTGGTATCAAAATTATAAATGTTATTTATTTTGATTAGCATTTCTTAGCTATATGCAGTGAATTAATTGTGAAGAAAAAAATATGTTTACCATCTGGCCCCCATGAAGCACTGTATATATCGATGTGCTGTGGATTCAAACTCAATGACCTTGCTTCAACGGCATCTGTCACATCACCATCTAACATTCGAACACCTCCCACACTTGCACCATGTGCGATTCCAACACAACATAACGAATTATTAAATGTAGCTGCCACTTCGCCAGCACACCGAGTTCCATGACGATTTGAATCGTCCATATCGTAATGTGGCATCGGATCATCGTCGTGACTATTCACATCATACGATGCTTTTGGATCCTGGCATTTAGAAAGAATCGTAAGTTTTTGTTAGTGCTTTCATCATTTTCATTTTGGCCGAAATAAATATGCCATTAAAAACGGGCAAAATCACTTTTTAACTTAACGTAACGATCGAAAGAATAACTTGTTCATTGAGTCAAAAGAATTATATGGCGTAGGTGAAAGTGTCATCACCTATAATCATAAGCATTTGTTCCACTTAATTACCGAAGAAAATGAACTCTCAAAATAGCCAAACTTTGTGTGCAAAAGTCACACCAAATGATACACCGAATAATTGTGCACAATTCGAACATTGAGAAAATGTGAAATAAAAATCCATGCCGTGACATTCGGTTGAACATAAGAAAAATAATCTTTGCGAAAACTTTTCGCTTTCGGCACACAATCGTCTGAGCGGAAGATATGACTAAATGCTTTATTGCTTCTTGAGTATTTTTTTCTCGTCGTTTTTGTTCTTCATACGAACGAGAAAAAAAAAGTTGTACGAAATATGTAGTTTATATACATGGAACCATCCATCCACTGCAATCATACAGTTACAGTAAAACTTTATCTTATCCATTTTATTTATTTTTCGTACTATTTTGCTTTGCCATAGCTTGTGACAAGCTTCTTGCCATCACATTTTGGTAATGATGTCATTGAAGCGACATCAAGTAAGGTTATTGGACATTACGCATGGTAAAAAAAAACAAAAATTCATAACAAATTTTGCACATTGTCAGCCGCAGAGTTAGTAGTTTATGAACGAACTTTTTTTAGCGTGAAACAGAAAAGTCTGTGAGTTTTTTTCTTCTTCTAGTTTTACTGTAAAAAACTGTATTTTTTTGCAGGGTAACAGATTATCTTTATAACATTTGATAAGTTTAAAATGAAAAAGCTTGGAATAATTCTTGTGCATCGAAACTTATTATTTATGCAGATATAACTTCAACATTATAACAAGTATTTCGTAAGTTGTTTTAAGTTTTTTTTTTGTGTGTGTTTGTGGCATTTTTTTTGTACTTACAAAATTTTCCACCAGATCGGGGTGATCAGATTCAAGGCCATCGTCCAAAATAGTGACTACAATTCCTTTACCCGTTATACCTTCCTTCCACGCTGGAATAACATTCATATCAAGTCCATTGCCACGATGCTGAAACACAGGAAATTAAACAAATGTAGAAAAAATCTCTCGAGATAATAATGAAATGTGACACTGTTTGCTCCCAAATGCAATTAATTTCAATTGCATTTCAAAGCTTTAAAATGTTCAAATCTCCGAGGGAATCCGAATTGTGTAAGTTACTTGAAGAAAGTTAAGCATTTGACATTTGAAAAATATCTACAACTTTATTATTTAAAAACTCAAATGAAAAAGTAAAAGTAATCAAACAAATTTTCAACTGTATAATAATATTAACGGTGAACTGCACCACTATCATTTGCTTCAATAACAAAAATATGCTCATATCAGCATTAGACTCATTTATATTTATAATTATCGTTTAGATTCGAATGATAAAAGTCAATGAAAACAAGTCGACACCGCTCTGGTTAAGTGAGCAACTTCGTATGTTTCGTTTCAAATGTTCCGTATGTTGAACTTTGAAAATGGTTCCAAAAGTTACAGCTATCAAACCCGAAAATCCAAATCGTTAAAAACAACAATTCGACCGACTTAATGTTTGGCTTTTCAAAATGCTAATTTTCATAATATGCTAATGTAAACAAAAACCACGGCATAATGGTTTGAGAGGGTTTTTAAATGATTTGCATAGTGCATTGGCTAGAGGTCTATGAAAATATTTACACAAATGCTGATGAACGTGATGATGGTCAACAAACCTAGCATTTCCATATTGAAATTATGATGTCCAGAGTAAATCAGTTCAAATGGCGAACTTGCTCAATAAAACTGAAGTGTGTTCGCCAAGTTCGCATCTCTTACAATATTTCAATGACTGGCCATGTAAAGTGATTTACGATTGTTCTATATTTTGTATCAAAATATGATAAATAAACGGAAGTATGTTTCTAAATGTGCATTTTAATCAACCTCAAAGTAAATATTCATTGTTTGTTCGAGAGAATATCGCAGAAATTGCTTGTTTTGACGCATAAATCGAAATGGGTTATCCCCACAATTACCCAAAGTAAACATTTATAACAAACTTGTGGTAAATTGCTTTTGTTTCGTTGTTCAATCTCTCTCTATGTGTGTACGTGTATGTTTGCGTATCGATATTGCTAGATAAACAATGTTCTTCAATTTGTTTGTTTTTTTCTCCGATGCAGGTGACTGGATATATCAATTTCATTAAGAAAATGTCTATTCTTTGGGTTTTATTGTTTGCACCGTGGAAAGTAGACAAGGCCAGACTAGATTTGGGTAATGTTGCATTTCAACGTTTACACTTTTATGCATCCTCTGGGATACATAAAAATTCCCTTTTTCATCTATAAATAACCGACACATATTGACGTGAAAGATAAATGCAGCGAGTGTTGTGTTTTAGTAATGTGCTGTAATGAATATTTATTAGTCATGGCAAATGTTTTGGAAGCGCTTTTATTCTTGCTCAAATCATAAATTCAAATACTGCAGGGAGCCGGTATCGATTTGAGGGAGCGACAAAACGACAATAGATACGTTGATAACGTAAACCACTCACATAGGTTTTTCCAATTCATGGTTGTAATACCATGGTATGTATTCGATATTTGAAGGGAACAAAATCCCAAAAGAGTATTTTCTAGTCTTTTGGTAAGAGCGCATTCAAATTGATTGCCGAAATTGATACGACACACATTTGCGCGCGTAAATGTAAATTTTACAAGATATGTACTTTACTTAATACCAAATACTACAATTCTGGTGTTTTTTTTTCGCATTTTGATCACTTTTTATCATTTTTAATAAAATTGATTACTTTTTTTCAACCAAAAATGCAAAACTGTCTTAATGCACCATTCACTATCGGTTTCCTTTAATTAAAAAAAAGAGACTACTCACCAAGTACCACATAGCAGGCCATTTTGGATCGCTGGTCATAACACGATTTTTACCCATCAACATTGGATACGGTTTCTGGTCATGAAATGTAAGAAAATCACGCTTTTTCCGGGTTTTTATGTGCTGTTGTTGCGACCATCGCACACGATCATCATTATTTAATCGTGTTTGATGATGATGTGATGGCTCGATGGAACGTTTTCGTATTTCGCTATGATGAAAATGGTAATAATCATCAAATATCTGAAAGAAAAATAATAAAATCATTAAAATTAAAATCAACTTTTTGTTAACAGTTAATCTGCAAGAAAGAACGAACCATGAAATGAATTTCCAATGATTTTCACACTGTAATTATTTCATTGTTCTTGACAATCTGTTTAACATTTACCAAATAATCGATATTATGCCTGATTTAAGTTATTATAAATGAATAGTTTGGTACGAAATTTTCGCTTAACTCTTAATATGCATTTAAGCGAGTTCAATGAAAATTTCCAATCGAATGGAACTGAGATTCAGTTGAAGTTAAAGTCAGTAAAATTCTACATAATTAAAACCATCAGTAATTTAGTATACGAATGCGATTACGTATCGAGATTGAAAATGCAACCAGTGAACCAGGTCATCTTGTTATTACCAAATTCAATAATATGCATGAGAAAATGCAGTTGAATAAATGATTTTCCATTGGAATTAATAACATGAATTGAATTACAGTATCATACTTTGTGGGTACATATCGAACATTTCATGTTCGGTGCTAGCACTTATGACCTAATTTAGCTTTGATTTATCAATTAAGATGGTTCGAAAAAATAGTTCAGATCCAACATCAGTCACAGATGTACTTGTGTTTATCATCCAATTTACCATCGAGAGCATTCATTTTAAATTCATCAAATTGATTGTAAACCTGATGCACCGAATGCCACGATTGAGAGACTATATATGGGTGTGTGTATTTATGTCATTATGATCCTGAATGTTTACATATTTCTTTGAACTCTGAGCCACATTTGTATGTTGAACAATTTGTACATCACTTTATGTAAATCAACTTGACATAGTATCCAGAGAATTTTCAAAATGAAACGATATGAGGCACAAGTTGCAATCGAATTCAAACGTGTCATCTAATGCAAAAAGTCAAAAATCGATGTATGAACAAACGAGAAGAATGTCTTTTCGAAACAAATGTTCGTGTCATTTGATGAATTTGCAACGACAGCCTAATCTACTTTAGTTCCATTCAAAGTGTCATTTGGCATGGTCGTGTTCAACCACTCTTAAAACATACATGGCTTGCGACCACAAACCAGAGAGCAATAAAAATACTTGCGACATGTGCTACCACAACTGAAAAGACACATTTGGATTAGCAAACTTGATCGGGATAGACGAAATTGTAACAAATGGACTGAGAATAAACACCAGAACACACCTGGTCTTTTATTCGATTTTATCGGGCAATTTTTTCATTGTGAAAAGTAGATCGAACTTTTTTATTGCCTTTCAAACGACTTTTTCGGAAAGAGTTTTTCGATTGGAAAGTCATGTTAACAAGCGAAATGCTTGTTTAACTTTATTTTCAGTACTGTTGGAGAGCATGCTTTTCAATTCGGTTCAAAATAATATCAGTTTTTTTTGTCCACATTCTGGATTCAAAAGTTTATGTAATTCAATTAGTCGTTTTCATAATTCTAAACAAAAAAATGATGTGGTAATGATTGCTTGCTAAAGAGTCAAAATCATTAGAAAACCTTTTAGAGAACTTCAAGTAAAATCTTGCGGTTTTGCACTACGGATTTATTTTTTATCAGAATCGATGTGCTTCATTTATCCATATTTTTTGTTTTATTTTGTTTTTTTCTCTCTCTCTCTCTCGAAAAAGATATGAGCATATGAACAAAAGCTTATCAGAGTGCTTTTGTTGTAGTTATTGCCTGCAAAGCTGTTTAATGTAATTCCACTTGATTGACCTTAAAATAAAAACAAAATCCGATTTGGCACTTTTTGCTGTTGGAAAAGTTTTTTTCTGTGAGTTGGCATTTATTTGCTCATTGAATTTTCTCTCTGGAGTGTGTTCTTTGTGTTATACCACGTATTTTTTTCCGCATATATTAATAAAAGTGAATCATAATGGGGTAAAGAGAAAATTAACAGGCAAACGTTATATCCATGGCCAATCGTTAAATTTTAAAGTCAAACAATGTACTGGTAACAATATCAAATTGATTGTAAATGTCAATTTGTTCCACATCACCCTTGATTGACAACCACTCAAGCGATTCACTGATAAATAACACTCCATAATATCACGTACCGGATTTTATGAACAAAAAATCTCGTAAAATTGTTTTTTTAATGACAAATAAAACGTAATGTATGTGACACAGAGGCACATTTTAAATGATGTTCAATTTGACATAGTTCAAGTGATTTGGGGATTTATGCGGAAAATCGATAATTTTTGATTGATGAGATGAGCCCTTTTTTATCGTAAAATTACACAGGATACGCTTTTTTACATACGCCACACCCAAACATGTTTCAGTACATTTGATAGAAAACATTCGGTGCTTTATGCACAGTGCGATATCTTAAAATCAAGAAGTGGGCTAGAAAATTTCCATAAATGCAACGAAATCGCAAAAGTTTTTGAAGATTTTTAAGAAGTGTAATCAAAGTGCAAAGTTTAATCCGAACGGCAAATGAATGTATTATCTAGTAGAATAGCCACGAGCTTATATTGCATTGCGAAAATGAAATATGAATTCAGTCGAATAAATATCGAGCAAAACTTATGATAAATTTGATTTGCTTTAGTATTAATTTATATGCAAAAATTATTCGGCCTGTGTATGCAGTTTGGTTGCATATTCGTCTGTTGAGTGTTATTAAAACCACGTCACGGACTGGGCTTGGTTAAAAAGAGCAAAGGGCCATTAATTTATCGTATGTAAATAACATATCCAATTCACCAATTTTTAATGAGACGTTATAAGTTTGTTTGGATCTTCATTTGAGTACGCTATGCTGATCTATTACGGGCGTCTTTGTTAAGTGTAAATGGGAAATTTATATGCAACTCCATGATATTATGCATCTTCGGCTATCAGAAGTAAAGTTGACTCTTACATCTTTTTGCACGTAAATTTTCTTGGTTTACATTTGCATTCTTTGTATTTGATATGAACGTATACGGTATGTGTGCAATTTGTGTGTGTGTGTGTGTGTGCATCTATGCGATATGCATTCCGAGACGTCCCCATTTACTATATTAGTTGAAGTTGAACTTCGGTGAATTGCATAATTTATTGATGATTTGAACAGACATGCAGATGAGGTCTTGATGTTGGCTTTCCATCTGTGCCAATTTTAAAACACTTGCTCGAAATAGATGCACCAAAGCATCAACATAGTTACATAGTTGCTTGACATGCAAAGCATTATTGCCTTACTCAGCGTCAATTTGGTCGAAACTACCATCTAAACTTAGCAAAACCCTCCAGTGCATCCGCAAAAACTGTTCGAATACATGGCAAACAAATGAGTATTGAGAAGAAGAAAAAAGAGCGAAACTTGTGCACAACAACTTTGTATATATATGAAGCATGAGCACTATGCGTTGTGTATTTCACCATAATATATGTATGCCAGTGCAATCAACTGATCAAATGAGGTTTTAACATTGGACTATTTCGTTGCAAAATTCATATCAACATTTTTGCTTTCGTAGTGAACCTTTCATCTGCCAACTGCTTTCGAGTAAACACAAACTTTTTCAGCGCACATAAGCCATTTCATACCATTTGCCGCCCTTTTTCATCCTTTACATATTGATGATGTGCATGTGTGCGCGTACAGGTGATCGTTAAAACGAAGAAGATAAAAAAGTAATGTAGGCACAGAGGCCTTGTTCACTTTAAATGAGCTTTCATATCAAAGCCAAATGTGTTTAATCGCATCTGATCCGGTCAAAGTATTTTACTTTGTGAAATAATGTTATGGAATTTGTCAGACTATGGTCTACGTTTTGATATGTGATTAGTTTCATTCGGTATTATCCGAAATCATGGCTAAGCTTACGATTCGGAATGAACATAGCCCATTATCGTAACATTTCATCATATACACAAACACATTTTCCTGCATTTTATTCCGTTTGTTCATGACAAATACACAAGCTTCGCTTCCATACGCTTCATGTATGTAAAGCATGTTAAGCAAACACCAAATCCATTTTCTTGATCCGATTCTCGACAGACATTTTCCAGATATGTGCGTAAAACCATTTACATCATGATTTTGATGGATGATTTATGAACTGATGCTGTTTTCATTGTTCCGCATTTTCAGAGTTAGAAAGATAAATAATTCACTTAACAAAATTAATTTCGTTTAATTCACCAGATCATGTTTCATATGATTAAAATTGCCTTCATGTCATTTGATATTACGTCGCGATGCTCAAATATTCCCATTTCATATTCACATGATTTTCATCATCGGTGATGTAGAATTATTTGGAATGAATGTAATTTTATATTCATTATGCATTTATAGATTTTGTTGTCGAAGTTTTCTATTGACAGAGAAATAAATCAAATACATAATTCCACAGAGAAAATTCAAAGTCATCAAAATGTTTTATGAAAAGTAAATCTTTGTTAAATAAGATTGGCAAAAATTCGGACGAACTAAAAGTCAGCAGAAACTTTTTTTTACATCATGTTCATATTCATGTATATTTCAGCGATATTGTACTTTAATACCTTTCTGTCAAAATGTATTGATTAATGATATTTCTTGCGTCAACGAATTTATCCTGTCGCTTTTCCATCCAACACCCATACACGGCTCATTCAAGATTTTGCAAATCTTTTCCACCAACAGATTAAGAATGAATGAACATAAATCAGACACACAATAAATAACATCGATACATCGATTCGCTTTTTGAGCCGGAGTTTGTGCTGTGCTGTGATGAAATCCAAAAATTGGCGCATCACCGTCACTCAGTCAGGTAAGCAACGAATAGATACCACAAGCTTCGCGATTTTACTTCTTCGATTTATCGAACAAGCTTTGAACTTGTGAGATTTCATTTGACGTTTACAAATACGCCAGCAAATACGCAGTAGAAATCGATTTAGTTGAATACGACAAACACTGTGTGGTTAATTGAACTTTCTATGAGACTCGTAAACATCGACAACGACTGATTCGCAAATAAATTG